AGGCAATTCGGAAAAGCCATTGCCACCCCAAGTTTCCTTTTTCTCCCCCTGTCTACAGTACAGGGTGTATATACCGGCACTGTCAAATCCTTCTCCGCTGCCACCGCTACCAGTGACCGGGTAGGGCCCCCTCTTTTGGTTTGTGTATGTGTATATATATATAAACATGGGTAGTCGAAAATGGAAGGCAACTCCGAAAGTCCCCTAAAAACAGTTTCCAAGGAAACGACGCCACCACGGCGACCGCGTGCCCTTCTCGCAAGCACACACACGAACTCGGGCAATCCGCCAAACTTCTTTGGCCATTTTTTATTTATTTCTGTAATATACCCTCCGCAAGAATGGCGTGTGCCGGTATAGGTACACGGGAGATTGTCCTTTTCTCGCACGGCACGTGAGTGGTTTTTTTTCTTGTTTACAAACGCACCGACGAAGATCGGAAATCCCCACACGTACTGTTGTGCTGTTATCCCAAAATGTTAAAAAAAAAAAAACTCTAGTTTCACTTAAGAAAATCAATGTGGCACCGACGGAGCACCGAACGCGCACGCTAAACGCCTTAACATAATAATATCATGTAGGTATTTTATTCGTCTAAATCCACCGAAAAGTTATCGGATCATGTTGTGTGCATATAATAATATATTATCGAAAAATATCGACTTACAGTGAACGGATTCCTTCGCGGTGCTATAGTATATGTGATATGATATTGTTACTGTTTTTCAAAGTAGCTGTAGATTTTCCGTTTAAATCCGCCAGTGATTCAATGCGCATTACCGTCGTGCCGCGGTGCTTTGGTAAAATATAAAGTAGTACATGGCTCCTCTCAAAATATATCTAGTATAGAATAGCATCTTACAGGAATAAAGTGGTTTAACACATTTGTATTTGTTTCACACGGTAACAGTAGTATAATGTAGTAGGTACAAATGGGTGAATTTAAATGCAACATTTTAAATAAAAATAATACCTTAATAATTATTCGAATAAAAAACTTTTCATTGTAAGTCGTTAAAACATAAAAATAAAATAATTTTTAGTCATATTCAATCTGTTTTAATTGCTAACCACTATATCGGATGAACTAAAATGATTGCAATTTTGTAGTATTTTTAAAATTATTGATGTTCTTTTGCAATTATATTAAACAACATAGTATTTTTTTTTGTATTTTCCAAAATTCTTTTAACACTTTGAACTTAAGGTTCACGTTCAATTTTTAAAATGAGGTATTTTCTATATTCCATTTTAAAGTTTTTTTTTGAGTTTTGAAGTTCAAGATAAGAAGAAGGGTAGAATGAAGTAATATTTTTATCTGCGAGCATTACTCAACCACACTTCTATAATATTGTAAAATAACATAAATAAAAATGTTTTCAAAAAGAAAAACTATAATATTGTAATTATTTTCCTAGTAAATCAGTGTCTTACGTTAAGTAGATCAGTCTGTATTTGTGGATGCCTAGACAAACCGCTTTTACCATCCTTATGCCACTCACTACATTTTCTGGCGTTCCTTTTAAAAATAGATTCAATCTAATTTATGCTGTCTTTGCCGCTATAGGGTACTTATACGATTCAGTCGCCACTCATTAGCATAGGTCTGGACATAAGTATCCATGACCTGATCATAGCTGCAATGCTGCTAGGTTTTATTACACCGCACATGACGGTTCGACGGTTTTGGATTTCCTCGCTTTTTCGAGGGATGTGGAAAGGTTTTCCAACAAATCCTTCCTTCTACAGCCGCGCCCCTCTGTCACTCCGGCAAAACTTTCACGGTCCCCGAACTTCTCTCACCCTCTTCCTCTCCGGTGTTCAGCTTTCACGGCTATTTTCGGAGCCGTATATATCATCACGTCAATGAACTTATCAACAACCATGACTGGAAAGCATGTATATAACGATGTATTAGTGTATGCGTGTGTGCGGTCTAAAGTTTTCGACACTGTTATAATGTATAATGTACAAGACTAAGGAACATTTCCGTGTGCACGCACCGTCTTAGTGTTGTGAACTTATTTAAAGTCGCCGAGTTAGTACGGGCAAGTGTGAAAACGCTATTGTTCGTTGCTGACAACTTATTAAAACACTTGTATAGTATTTGTAAGCGATATAGCGGGTAATAAAAAAAAAAACCTATGTAATCCCCGGTGGCAGAAAAACATTTCTCATTTACCAACTTTCGGTACGTTACGACCGAGAGCGTTATAGTGCCTATGTAAGGTGTTTCTTCTTGGAAAACAAATAAACCCCGGTTATCGACTAACGGTTTTGCCGGGCTCGCGACTTGAAAAATATGATTTGCCTCGGTCTGGCTGTGCTCGTATACGTACGTTGAATGGCGCTATAAAAAAGCGAAATCTCGAGCGAGTACCCGCGTGTCTGTGTTGTTTCCGCGTAGAGAAAAGAGTAAGGAAAACCGAGATAGAGCAGGAGAGAGGGACAGCATAAGCCTTTAGCATCGAAGATAAACTGTTGCGAGGTAACGAGAACGACTGTCGTTGAACTATCCCCGGGGAGGAATCGCCACCGGTGGTGTATAGTCATCGACTGGCCCGACTAATGCAGAAACATTAGGTACGGCATTCACGTCCTGCCTGTATGTGTGTGTTTTTCGACCGGCAAAATGCAATTATTACCTTACCCTCTCTGTCGGTGCACGATCGCCGGCATTAACCTCTTACGTTTTTACAAACACCCGAGCAAATCGTGTGTGGTTATTGTTATTTTTGTTTTTCTTCCGGCCACGACGATTTCTACTCCAGACGCGTTTAAATAGCCTATTTAACGTTCCGCCGTGGCAACTTAATTCGGTCCATAGTCTCGACCTTGTATTACACACGAGATCCTCCTAGGAGACCAATTAAATACACAACAACACCAGCACTTTTTTTATTATTTCATAATTGGTTTGCAATTTCATACCTTTTTCGCAGGGACCACGTTAAACGACGGTGTTACTATACCTATTATTGTTATTATTATTAGAACAACTATTATTACTTTTAACGCGCTTCAGCCACACAACGGCCAGAGATAATAACGGACTTCATTATTGCTATCATCCTATATAATATAGGTCATAGATAAAACACCTTAAGATTAACTATTATTGCCGTTCTGACAACACGGTCAAGAGAAATATCTCTGGCCTTGAATATAAAAAAAAAAAAATTGGATCCGTCTTGGCCAAATGAAACTAATGTAATACGACGATAACGTTGTTGGTATGAAATATGCAAATCCAAAAAAACCAACGCCGCTTACCGAGTATTCCCTGTCGGCTCATGGTCGGATTTGTCAGTGTTGTTATTTTTTACTGCCTCGCCATCATAATATTATTATTTTTTTTTTTATCTATTTATTGTGTCAACGTAAGATTTTGAACCGGATGTGATGGGGTGAACGAAAAAAAGAGAGCGGGGAAGAGATAAAGTGGTCTAAATTCTTGCCATCTGCCACGGCCAAAGGCGGAAATATTGTAACGCGCGTCCCGTTTACTTTATTAGGGTAGCGCGCCGGTGAGTGAAGTTCGGTGTACTCGTCAAAAAATATTACCTACCATATTATATACACACACACATTTTCTATACTTATATTGTGTAATATGTGTGTATATCGCCGAGTGGAGACGGCGGCGGCGGTGTACCACGACGACTGTGTGCGTTATAGCAGCAAGTGTATTCCCTCCGGGATACACATAGAAGTCCTGGCAAACGTGCACAGGAGCATAATACAGATAGCAATCGGTTCGTCAATGGATGGCAAGCCGCCGCCAAGATTATTTTATCAGACTAACAAACCGTGTGCCCTCGACGGCCCACTCTATAGTGTAGTAGCTGCTGCAGTCACAATAACATAATATAAATCCACCAGGGTCGTGAGTGCATCGATCATGCACTGCGACCAATTGAATAATGCAATATTGCCCCGGGCCATTTTTCCCTCGGTTTTAGTGCCCTTAACTTATTACAACGGCACACGTCGACTTTAACTTCGTTATCCTTTTTTATATTCTAACGGCGACCATTATTATAGTAATAAAATATTGACCGAATATCCGGCGATTTAGCCGTCGGCATCGGCTGTTCCTTTGGACGCTTGCACTTGCACCTCTCCTGAAAAAATGTCACGGACTAGGTACTTTGAACGACCTAGTTTAATACAGTATACTATAAAATCTTCATGTTTGGGAATAAAAAAACAACATACTTGTTATTGCAAAAAAAAAAAAGCGTGCACGTCGTCGTTGATGATTAACACTCATCCATTACTTCATGATTATATTGTACCCAACGTAATAATTATAAAGCTATTTAATTAATTGCTCTCGGCAAAAATATACATATGATTATCACAATAATTTATGGCGTTTAACCACGAACAAAACGTGCACTATAAAGTAGTGTATTTATTAGAATACACTTATCGTATGTCCCTCTATGTACCTAATCGTTTTGAGAAACCAGCGTACTTATATTATATAGAAATGAAATGGTTTTAAAATACTTCATTCGAGAAAAATACAACTTTATAATTTATTATATACTATAATACCGGGCGATTCTTTTACCGTCCTACCTATCTAAAAATTATTGAAATTTTATAGTTTTCTTTGACTTTTTAAAAAACATGTTTATGCTATATTACAATATTAGACAATGTTTACATTTTTTTGTATTTACCAATGTTTTATCAACATTTCAAACTTAAACGGTAACATATATATTTAATTGTATTTTTAAATTAAGAATAATTTTGACTGGTTGATAACCAGCTTGGAAAAAAATATACTTAATATTTTAAATATCAAACAAACATAATATATTACCTACCTGCGCCTTTGTAATACAGTGCGATGATATAGTTACTTACTATTATTATTATTTTTTTTTTTTGAAGGGAAGCTATAAGAGAATGTTTCTTTGTTCTCTTTCCGATCAACTCCATTTGGAAACATTTGACCTAATTTTTTATACGTTTTTGTGTTACAGGTTTTTCTTGAAGTTCTTCCTGAAATGCAATCAAAACTGTTTGAAAAACGCCGGCAATCCCCGAGACATGCGACGGTTCCAAGTGAGTAATTTGAAAAACTTTATATATACATGTATTTTTTTTTATCTTCTAATATTATAGTAAGTTACAATATTATAACAGTAATAATTGTAAGTACAATGATAATGGCGGTCGAATCGAACAAGGTATAATAATATTTACTGTATATCTTCTTTTAATGCGTATAATACATTTTCCATTCAAGCCATTAACGTAAAAGGGTTTTATAATACACTGCGTGTAAGTGATATACACTAACTTGCCGTATCGAGCGCCGTAGCTCTTGCCCTGCGTGTCATGTGATCCTTCCGAACACGAAACATGTATACCATGTAACTTTATTAATAATATTAAAAAAAAAAAGTAGTAATATTATGTACCGTTCGATTATTGGGCATGGATATCCTCTACAGTCATATAACATCTGTATAGTAAGGTCTTTTTCACACAAAACACGCGGACGAGTTGGTAGAAAATGATCTCAGTATCATCTCAAACAATTCATTATGATAACAATATTATTCATATTTTGTTTAAAATACTATAGGGTTGGGTTATAACGCAAGACATTCAATAGCTCTTAGAAAAATTGCAATTATGTAGTTTTTATTTTTGAACAGATTATTGTTTGTGTTATTTTACAATATTATTAGCATAAACTACTAGCTAATATGTGCTCGAGATAATCGAAAGGAAAACTGTATGCATCTATTTTTCTTGATAAAATAACATATCTACTGGTCGGTTTTCTCAGTTGTTGTTTGAATAAAATATAGGTATTCTTTTTTTTGCACTTTGCGCTTTGAACAACAATAAAAAATGGTATGTTGAACCCGAAGGTGGCGAGAATACAAAACGCCGTTACGGTTCATAATTGATGTAGGCTCTGCCAAAATGCTCCGGAGAAAAATAAAAAATAAGTAGCCGCAATGCGAGTTACAACAAAGAAAAATGAACCCAACAACGTCTTCACGTGACTCCTTCCTCGCCAGAGTCTCGGAGATTTTAATTGTGTTTTTAACGCTTTTTGTGTAAAAAATAAAAGCATTTCGGGCAAGGATTTTTTGGGGCTAACGCTCAAGGTGTGCGTGAAGACAACGGTATGCGCTAAAAAAAAAAAAAAGTTTTAATAACGTTAAGTCTCTTATAGAACGAAAAAACAAATACAACAGTTAAGCGGAAAAAAGAAAGTAACAAGCATTGTTATAATAATAACCTTAGAAAAAAAAATACATTACTTTTTAATAATATTTTTTCAATAAATAGAGCGTTTTAGTATTTAGAAAATAAATTTAAAAAAAAATATATATATAGGACCATATTAACTAACGTTTCTTAAATGGCAACGCTATTCAATGTACAACAAATAAACGATTTTCTAAAACCTATTTTTTTTTTTTTAATTTATAATAATTGAAAACGCTAAATTATATCATTTCGACACAAAGCGCAGTATAATAAACCGACCAAATAAACCAATACCTTTTGGTTTTTTGTTGGGAATATTATTCATTGTTAGGAATATTTGTTAATAATTAATTATAATTTATTTTTCGAAACACATAATATTTGATAATGCGACCCAACGCAGCTCGTAATGACTTGTACTTTACTTACTTGTCAATTTGTACTCCAAATTATAACTTTTAATTTAAGTGACGATCGACCATTTATCGAGAGGTAAATGTATAAAAATACAGGTAATGTTTGTTGTTCTATGTCAAATTTTACTTAATCTTTGGCTACTTCACTAGGTTATGTAGAATACCGATTTTATATTTTTTTAAATAAATCGACATGATCGAAATTGATTAAACCAGTTTTTCTTCTTCTTAAATATCACCTGTAGAAAACTCTTTTAAAAATCTGTCCGCTTTCAAACCCCATAAGATTTCGTAGCGACGGGCGGTTGGTTTTTTAAACTTTGATCGTGGGAAGGGGAAAGGGGAAAGGGTCAAGGTGTAGGATGGTCTAATATACGTGTCGCGTGATATTATAAGATTTCACAGTACCTACCGGGGGGGGGGGTGTACGGTGTATATTGTTCTATCGAGAAAGCCGTACGGTAGCCACCACGGCTAGCGCAAAAGTCGAAACGCCGCCGCTGTGTGCCGTGAAATTGACCCGACCGGTACAACATAGCGCGTACACCTTCTCCGCACAACCACCCCCCCCCCTTACGACGTGTCTCCCTCCCCGTGTCCTGAACCTCCCCTCGTGCACGTACAGTGTGTGTGTGACGGGATCGGGCGACGGGCAGTTCCCATGGGAACGGTTCGGCCTCCGGGGGGAAAGCGGCGAGGAGGCGGCGGCGGTGAAGACGTCAAGGACGGCGGCGTGCACGGTTTATTCCCCGGAGGCGGAATTGAAAACCCCGGAGAGGTGGAGTCGATTTTACCCTATCGTCGCCGCAAAATGGGTGCGAGACACCGGCGGCGGCGGCGGGGAGGGAGCGACGTTGTAAGTATACAGAGGCCGGCGAAAGCGAGACTCACGTGCCGAGGAAAAACTACCCCGTATGAGTGTGTGTGTGTGTGTGTGTAAGTATATTAATGTACGTGTACCGGTAACGTGGTGGAGGGATGATTCGTGGAGAGATGAACGTGTTAGGGGTGGCCGGGGTTCGGTCGCCGCGGAAAATTCTTATTATTTCCTTACCTTGCTCGGTAGTCGGGGAAGGACGAGGTGGTAATGGCAATGCTGTGCTGTTGCTGCTGCCAGCAGTAGTAGCATATAGACCGAAGGTGTGGCGCGCACTTGAAAACTTTCATCGCCCAATCTAATTTACACCACTCGTCTTTAATAATGAAAAACTTTGCCCGGAGAAAATCGGCGCTCGAGATTTAATAATTGACTAGGTATACGACCGACCGTGTGCTGGTCGTAGTCGTTGAATTTGTATCATCAGACTCGGGTTTTCTTTCCTTTCTTTCGTGCCTCGTTTTTGTTTTTTTTTTTGTTTCATTCATTCTCTCGACACCGCACCCGCCGACTTTATTATGTATTTATAAGTACACCCGACCCAGCGGCCCTTATTAAGGAAGTACCCTTACTTGGATTTTTTTTTCTTTACGCTACTGTTTATACAAGACAACGTGACGCGCTGGTATTATTATTATTATTTTTCGTAACCCGTTATGAAACAGCTCAAGAGGCTTTCATTAATATAAATAATATTCTACTGAATTAAAAACTTGACTCGACAACCTCGTTATACTCGCGTCCCGTGTACACACATTACATTATTAATCGTTACAGCGGTTTTTTTTTCACTCGGCTGTGTCTGTTTCTCGGTGTAAAAGTCGGTTTTTTGGTTTTCGCCATTGCTAGTATAAATTGCATTGCGCCGTTGTTTCCAACAAACGTGCAAATCGTTATTAACGGTTCAAAACAAGAAATACTATCCGCAATTGTTTTAACAATTCATTTACATAAGACATTTATCTGCATGCAGTAAATCCTCGTGGGAACCTCTCCACTGAGCTCGACGACCTTTGACTTTTAAAATATTAACACATTTCTTCCACCCTTACCCGGACGTTATTTGAATTTTTTTTTAAGAAAAAAAATTAATCAAATATTTATTTAAACAAAATATAATTATTTTAAACAGTGGGGAAATAAAAAAAAAATTATTGCATTAAATAAAAGTTATTCAGGCCAACTTCCGCCGCAGTGTATTATACATGTAATTTTAACATAGTAAAATATGTATTATACAATATTTTTTACACATTGTCAATGTTTTTTTTTTGGTTTTTAGGTCGTCATATCGACGCAGGTCACGGTGGAAGGCCCTTTGTTAGCCGTTTCTGACAACATGTTCGTGCACAATAATTCCAAACACGGACGCCGAGCAAAACGTTTAGACCCGAACGACGGTAAGACATTGGACGGTTTATTTATTTTTAAAGTACTGTTATTATTGCGCTATTGCTGGGAAACGATTGCAAAACGTCGAATGGACGAAAAGACAGTGTTTCTCTCGAATGTTGTTAAAAGCCGACAAAACGTCCGTGCAATACTAAACAGGGGATTTTTGACATTTTCCCGGAGAAAAATAAGATACACCATAAAGTAGGAAAACACGAGGAAAAAAAAATACAAGAAGAAAATAAAGAGGAAAACACACACACACACGCACACAATGTCGACCAGTCTCCTCGTTCGGTTGTTTGTGTATGCGGGGCGACATTCTGTGTAGTTTTGCGATCTAAAACTTTTCATCTACCCTTCCCTCCCTCCAACCCTACCTCTCCTTGCCCTTTTCCAGTTCTTCTCCCGTGCCCATTTGCTGTGAATTGGTGCTGCCTGATTCGGTCCACTGCATAGAACCCATTTTATACACGGTACGAGAGAGGCGGCGGTGGATTTGAACAGCCCCGGGCAAAAAAAAAAATCGCTTGACAGCTCTGCCGACTCCGGTTCATTGCAAAAAATAATATACAGCCGACGAAAATATATTTCTAGTAAAGAAAATATGTATATATTATTCGTTTGCTCGCACCGATACGACGGGCAATGGGAGTGATGATATAATATAATAATATGTACAACGCATCCGACTGTCTGTCTGTGTATACACAACACTGGGGTGAACCGTCTTAGCCTTGATCGAACGACGATTGACCCGACAATAAAATGTTATAATAATAACAGCTGTCGACGGAAGGAAACACAAAAATATATAAAACAAAGTGCCAAGTGAATTAATACCGCAATGCTGTTATCACAAGAATACTAATGGACGTCCCTAAAAATGAAACGATCACCAAACATTGTTTGTCTTATTGGTATAGAATATGTTCCAGAAATATTGTTACAGCGCTTATTTAGTTATTTCATTCTACAATGTTATGAGAGCTTGAAATCAGTTGAATAATGGCTAATAGCGAATGTCGGAGAGTAGAAACACTAGAACAGTCATTTCGATTCATATTGTGTGTGTGTATTTTTATTTTTTTTTGGCAATTCCCAAACGTGCGCTTTAGGGGGATTTTTTTTTTTTACAAATAGCGATTTCTATTCAAACACACGTACTTGATCATTTAGAACGTTCGCGAACATAGTGTTATAAAAACAAATTAATGTAATAATTTTGTTTTGTATCGCTTTTGTCAGGCATGTTCTCTCCGTTACCTGTGGCCACACCGTGCATTAAACACATAACGCCCAGCGAAGGATGGACTCACGGCGGCGCTTCGGTCACCATACTCGGTGACAATTTCTTCGACGGCTTACAAGTAGTCTTCGGAAGCAACTTGGTGTGGAGCGAGGTAAGCACTCGATATCTCTATTAATAGTACAACGAATGAGGTTACAAGGGAGTAAGGACAATTTTTGTTGAGGAACACGTTCAAATATAGTTTTGGAAGTTGATCTACAACTGTGTGGCAGGAGACATTGATGGAGCATCCATTAAGCGTATGTCTCCCAGAGCAGACTTTGTCAAGAGTTTCACGTTATAATATGCATATAATACTTGTTCCTCGGGTAATGGATGAGAAAACAATAAATTATGCATGGAAACTGGTTGACAACGGAGCTTGGAGTTTAATGTTTGCAGATAATGTAGTCTTATGCTCAACGGAAATCATATAATGATCAAAAGATATGTGGAGAATAGGAATGGGAAAAAAAATAATATTCTTCGAGTTATAGTTTGTGAATGAGAAGGTGAGAGCTGAAAGTAAAAAAAACAGCTGATATGCTTTTCGTGTATGATCAGAGTTAAAGTTTAAAGTGGCTTAAGTGATTGGAGACTATTTGGAAGTAAGGTAGGTCGAATAAATATTTTTAAAATACGTCAAGGTAAAGTTCATGTGATGTCGGACGTCGCATTAATGTAGAGAGAGAGAGCGAGAGAGGGAGAGACTAGAGAATCGGGGGTGTATATAATGGGTAATGGTTGGCATTGAAATTATGTTATCACTTACAAATCAGTCTATAACGGAGTGTTTGTTTTTTTTGAACAGTTGTTGACTCCACACGCGATACAAGTACAAACGCCACCTAGGCCGATTCCCGGTATTGTCGAAGTAACGCTTTCGTACAAATCCAAACAATTTTGCAAAGGCTCTCCCGGACGATTCGCTTATATATGTAAGTGCAATAACTGCATAATGCAAATGAACTTTTGTTTTGGTTACACCACGTATAATATGTTGTATTAACGATTGTCTGGTGTTCGTTTCAGCTCTTAGCGAACCTACCATCGATTACGGTTTCCAGAGACTGCAGAAATTCGTGCCCAGATATCCGGGAGATCCGGAAAAATTGCCAAAGGTAAATATAACTTACCATCAATACATACTGTTAAAAAACCGCAAACACACGAGTCGAGTGTTTTGAAAATCTGATACATTTTTTTAAGAAATATTATGTTTTTTGTAGGAAGTGATTCTCAAACGGGCCGCAGATCTCGCCGAAGCTCTATACACGATGCCCCGAAACAATCAGCTGTCATTGTCGTTACCCAGGTCGCCTTGCTCTCGAGACCGGGAGATCAACAACATGTCGTCGACAACCGCTGGATCAGCTGGCACCGGGTTTAACCCGTATACGGGGCAATTGGCGGTCACCGTACACGACCACGGCACAGCCGGCCAATGGAACGAGGGTGAGTCATATAGCTTCAGTATCCCCACAAACTGTCCTATGCAACATTAGGTGCTTGTCCAACAAAGTTCGGAAAGCGACCGGGCATTTCTTTGCTATACCATCCACACGCCAACTACAATACGTTCTAAGGGATTTTGTTGATTATAAATTATATTATTGCGTTTGCCATCAGATGACTACGGTCGCGGCCAGAGCAGCAGCGTGTCTCCCAGAGGCGGTGGATACGGTTCGAGTGCTTCGACTCCGCATTCCACAAACGGTACCAACAGCAGCACTTACATCAACAATCCACCGACCAGCGGCGGAGGCGGCGGAGGTGGCAACGGGGGAAGCGGAAGTGGCAATATCATCAGCAACGGGAATCCGTCTAACAACACGAATAACGGATCCGGCTCCAATTCCGGTTACAATAGTTCCAGCATGCCCAACACCACTTCCGCATCGGTGCAGCTGACCAACATGAACTCTCCTACGCCCACCTCTCACCCGTCGCTGTTCAATTCCTCTTCGAGTGAGTGTTGCCGATACACTTAGCGTTATTGGTCAAAAACTAATTACTACTGTTTTTTTGGGTTCTTAAAATCCAATTTTGAATAATAATAATTAAACACTGTTTTATTAACAATGTACTTACCGTTGATCTCCGATAGGAATGGGCACTTTAGTGACTTCGCCGTTCGCCATGAACCCATTCGCACTCCCCAACTGCAACGGTCAACCGTACGCGACCAGTCCCCTTATCAGCTCCTCGGCAAAATAAGCGTCGTATACCGCCAGTGTCTAGACAGCACGCTGTTTAAGGAAATAACATTAACGAAACACTTATCAACTAATTGTTATGGAAAATATAAAATACAATGTATGTCGCAGTACCAAACGTAGGTATGTTATACATCATCAGTACAATACCATAGTACCTAAATTGTAAATAGTTTTAAAATTAAAGAAAACATATATATAACATATATTATACTCTATTCGCGTTTAGAAGGAACCTCGGAGGCCGACTTGTATGCTACGGGCGTGCTCCATTAGTGTGGCCGCTAATGCTCTTTTTAAATGTGAATAAATATTATTTTTGTAAAAAAAAAAATTATATAATAAAAACAAATACTATAATATTATATGAAAATGTATTTATATTGTAAACTACCTATTTAGTCGTAAAAATCTTGAGTTTCTATAATATTTTATATATATTTATTTTTATTCTTAAAAATTGTTGTTTTATTTTTCAAATTATGTTTGTATAGCTTAATTTATTACTTTCAAAAGAACCCAGCTGGTTTTCAATCCGGTATACTATTATTATTATCTAACCATTAGAAATAATTGTATTAAAAAATAGTACCTTAAATACATATTTTTGTTAACATATTTGCGGGGAAAACCCAAATAACTTTCGTCTTACTTACATAGTTTATAGACAAATGTTTGACAATTTTTATTATAAAATATCTTTCTTTTTTTATTCACTCGTCTGTCGTTTAATATTAATATAATTATTAAATATTATAATCATAAAATATATTTAATGTTTTAAAAACTATTTCATTACACTTTTCGGCGGGTGCAATACTATCCCTGATGATTGAAACAATTACATATCATGTGAGCTTCGTCTGCTCTTTATAATATACATATATAATAATATTTTATTATTGTATAAACTATTGTTACTATCTAGTGTATATAATATACAAACGGCTCTGTCATAGAAGTCTTAGTATCTTGTCGGCTTGTGTAAGTATAGTACTGCTTATTCGCATAGACTGCCATTTTTTGGTTGTATAAAAAATGTTTTCTGTGTATATAATATCTACTATTATTATTATTATTATTATATGCATCAAAGATGTATTACAAAAATATTATATTCTTCAATGTTTCATTCAATATACTATTATTATACGACCATCATAATACATTTGTGTTTTAGTTGAAAAAAATACCTCTACTTTTCCTCCTCAATTTTCACACACCTAATTACCAACCGAGTACTCGTTGATAAACAATGACAGAACTGCTAACGAATATTGAACATATTGTAGTTTTTTATAAAGTCATCATTTACAAGCGATTATATTATTCAGCAAAATATGTACGTCGTTGGCTACCTTATTAAACGGATTGAAAAAAAAAAATGGAATATTATCAACTAACAAAATCGTTAAGTATTTTAATCGTGGAATGTGTATTAAAACAATCATATTAACTAACGGGGGATTTTTTTTTGTTTCAAACAAACAAATTCCATCACTGTAAATACTATTAACTAATTAGTTTCTTAATTAATTGCGTATCGCTTGCAAAACGTGCTCGTCTATTTAGTCGGCGATAATTAATTTGAATTATATAAAATGATGTGTGGGTGTGTTTACACGATTTGTTTGCTCTCATCCCCACAATATTATTAACGATTAGCATATGTGATGCACCGCTCTGCCCATTGCCGTATGTGCTTTACTCTTTGCCGGCGAGGTACGCCTAAGTATTTGTTTTGATCTCTTCAATCCTTTTCCCCTTTCCGCCCCATCCGCGCACCCTTGTTCAATTACCCTTCCCCGTCGACCAGCCAGCGCTACCGTGCAAAACGACCGCCTAGTGTGCCCTTCGTGCTAGTTTTGGTCATTAAGTCATAACCGTTGGAAGTAATTTGTCAAAACAAAACATCCCGGTTCGATTTTTTTCGAACCGTTTTTTTCGATGTGTCGGTGTAATGAAAATACAAAATATAAATACAGGTAGATTAGGGTAAAACCCTCCACCCTCCTCCCAAAAAAAGAAGAAGTCAATGAGTCATTGGCTGTAAATTACCTCCATGAATATGTATGAGATAAAAATGTTAAAAAGCTGATGCGCGTCGCTCCCCTATGGTAAATTATTCAAAAAGCGGTGTGTAACACAATAATACCTGGTATACTATCATTGTTTACTTAATAACGCCAACTGGTGTTTCGTCTGGGCTGTATATTTTTGTGCTTAAAATAAATGATATATTTACTAAGAAATCTGTTTAAAACTGAAACTCAAAAATAATTACTAATGAAACATTTTATAAGAATCACTTTAAAGTAACAATATAATTAATTCCACTTTGCGGTTTTATCTTGATACTTACAGAGAAGAAAAAAGTGTTTGGAAATTCTAGACACTTAATAAAGTGTTTTTAAGGTAGCAAAACGACAAAATAAATATTTGAAAACATTTATTTTTGACTCCGTTAAGACGAATTTCAATTCTAATAGCCGAAGATCTGTTCTAATTTTTTATTTTTATTTCAGAGCTTTTTACAGTTGGGTTTTTTTCCAAGTTAATTAACATACTGTAAACTGAGGTGCCAAGAAATATAGTTTATAATTCATGCGCATGGTAACAATCTAAAACGTTTTGCATATCAACGAGCTGTGCTATTGTAATGAGCGCCTACATATTATTATTATAATGCAATGGACGGCGTCGACAGGGATCCATTAGCCCCGCGCTCCCCAGTCGGGATGATGGGAATTTAATATCTGTTGTAATAACAATAATAATAATATAAATATCATATTTTTTCCGGATGAAATGGTAACGCGACCAAACACAAAGCGGATAACAATAAGGTTGTTACAATGTGTGTATATCGTCGGGAAAACACAATGTTGTTTTTTCTTTAGCACACGGCACGTGTCTTGTACCGCACACACTTTCTGAATCGTGTTACATTATTGATAAAACCAGTGGCTTATTAGTATTAAACAAGATAGGGACAGCGATCCACAGTGCATGTCGGTCTTCCTGCGGCGATCCCACGGGCGCGCACACGTCCGTCCGGCTGCACGCGGCGCTATTGTTTGGCTACAAATTACATATTACACTTCCGTCAATCACTCTGCTTCCGAATTTTAAGGGAGGGGGGGCACACGGTACAGGATAAAAAAAATGATTGAAGAAAAAAAAATGGTATTTTTCGGACGCATAAAGATCATATGACACTCCGATCGGCGATAATAATATGTATGATTTTAATCACAAATAAAGAGAGACAATAAAATCGAAATATTTTTTAGTAGAAAACAAATCTGATATCTCCCAGATTTTATTCCCAGAGGGCTAGTACAGTAGAGTATAGGCATGACAGAATCAAGCATAGAGAGAACGGAGACGTCATAGATGTACAGGCATTACTATAAAAAAAAGTGATAAAATCACTTTCAAATAAACGCTTAAATGCTTATATGTAAATCAGCACCTCAATTTAATACTTTCTAACTTTGCTGGTTTACACTGTGCTTAGTTTGGACTGTACTGACTTGAAAATACTAACTACTGGTTTGCATTGAAGCGTTTATTTGAAAGTGATTTAATCACTTTCAGATTAAAAAATTCCTGTAAACCTGTGACCTACTCGTCCCCACTATGCCCCTACACCAATACTAAAAAGTACTAAATATTTAAGAGCTTATAACTTGTAACGTGTCTGCTTGGCTAGTTGGCTAGGCTAGGCCGAAACGACAGTCGATAGGGTTAAATTAGTGGACCCGAAGACGGGACGGATGGCTAGGCCGTATCTACACTTAAATATCTCTAAAGTCTCCTTTGTATATTTGCTATATCGCCTGAGGAGTTTGACAGGCGATCGTACCTCTAAATAACTTAACTCTCAAGTGTGCAACGAAACGAAAACAGGTTTATTAAATAAGTAAAGCTATGTACATATATATTACACCTCTACCTGGATCCTAAAGCGTTCTCTGTAGTTAGTCCAGGTAATGGCGGAGTTGAACGGACACAAGAGTACGAGTAAAGTTAAAAGAAATATAAAATAGTAATGTAACGTGAAATAATAGGTAATGGCTTTAGAATAATTAGGTCGCGGTCCGAAGATGGTAGTATGTCAACTAACTGGGCATCGGAGCCCCTGGCATTGTCCCGTGTGTCTGTTGTCTCTCCTACCTATAATGGCTTACATGCTAATCTGGGTAAACTGCTAATAATGCATATTTGGAGGCGAGTGGTAACGGGCGGCTAAATGTGACCGTTACAGCTGCTCCTCCCCTAATGAGGTCTGACCTCAGACCTTTGTTATACAAATGAAAATGGGTACTAAGAAAAATAAATAAGATATGTACAAATACCCTGAAAATAAAGGTTCCTATAGATTGGTTAAAATTAATTATGATTTAAAGGAGGGCCACCTGTACTCTTATTTTGACCTTTGGTTAATTTCGACGATCATCCATCCCTTATCTTGTCGTTTTTATTGAAAACTTGAAAGGACACCGCTCGACGAAAACATCCAACCTAGCTTCTCGCCTTTCTTGAAAAAACTTGTGGGTCAACCCTCTATAAAATGAATAGTGATAGTGATGTTCTCAAGGTCTTAATAAGCTACTAGTGGTTGTCATATTCTATTCCACATAAAAAGGTAATATGGGAAAAGCATGGGCTACATTGTATTGTTATTTTTTAAAATATTAAGTTGGCTAAGCTACGCATACAAGAAAACTCAAAACAACTATAAAAGAAAAATTCATTGTCTGTTTATCTCACAATATACATGTGTAATTACGTTAATCCTAATGATAATGATGAAAAACGTTGCTAAAAATCATTTATCATATACATTCATTATCTTAAGTTAAGTTAATACCTCTGCGTGCTTAAAAAAAAAAATACTTCATTTAACTTATACAAAATAAAATAATAATAATCGTAAAATAAAATAAATTTCATTAAGTGTTTATAAAAGAAACAGAAAAGAAGACTAACAGAGAAACGCTTAGTAGTCGAAAAAATATCGGACCCAGGGTAATTTACGCGACGATAAAAAAAAACAATAATACCCTTGACCTTAAAAAAAAAAAAATTGAAGTCGTTTATCTTGCGCGTTAAGTTTAGTCAGTAAGTCAAGTTATACTTATTTTTTTTTAAATATTTATACATAATAAATAAAAATGTCTTGTGTTAGTAAATTTGTCGTGAAAACGACAGTTTTAATTACAATAGTTTTGAATTATTTGTTGATCTATGTACCATTTGGGTGCCTGCAACTCATTTAGTTATTAAAACATATGCCGTAAAACAATAAAATATATGTATACATTTGAATAAGGTATGTTTATGAAATATCAAATTGCATTATTTATCATTCTCAATATA